GTTTGTCATGTTAAGAAGACGGGTAACAAGCATTTCTATGCAACTTTTTGAGAGAAATATTCATCAATATAATTTTTTTCAAAATGAAGCTCTCATACACGGAAACTTAATAGAATTCGTGTTTTAGAAAACACTGGCAGGCTTCATTATTGTTACGTAGTCATGTTATTATCTGAATTGATCAAAAATGAAAAAATATGTGTACTTTAACGAATTTTTTTTGTACGATTACCGAATTGGGATTCTAAAATAAAGCTTAACAACTTACTTTTAGACTTTGAAAATTTATAAATTCGAGTTTCTATTATTATGTAACCTAACGTGAAAACGTTCACATTATTTAACATATTTCAATGTACTCATCGAGAGAAATTTCATTTGATATGTCTTTAATTATAATATTGACAATAAAATTTTCTAGAAACTTATAGTTTCTAGAAAATTTCTAGATTGGTTTATAAAGTGATAATGACGAATTTAACATGTAGGGGAAATCTGAAAACTGCACTTCTTAAATATTTTTTATCTTTTTCACTCTACCCTTTAATTTATTGTACGTTAATCTTGCACCTTTTCTCACTTTTCACCTAACTTCTCCCTCGGCCGACCTTCGACAGACCACTTATTGTTACAACTGCTACAAAATTCATTTGACATTTCATTGAGCACTAAATAGATCCAAGAATCACTTAAATTTTCAATATATCTAGTGTGTACGAGCCAGTATCCCTTAGAAAGTCCTCCACGAAATTATCCCTTCTCTTAGGCAGATAGTCCTCGAGTGCTTTGCCTTAATCAAATAAAACAAACCAAACCTACAAACCAAAATCATTTACAAAAAGGTGAGTTATATTCTGAGATGAATAAAATATTTATATTAAAATACAATCGTCTGGAATGTGTTTCTCAAAACAAATGATATTCGCACATAGATTTATTTCCCACGGGACATAGACAACACGATTGAAACCAGAATGAAAACGTATTTTTGACAAAAAGGTATGTATTCCCAGTAGAAGGTATAAGGAGTTTCTGAACTTTTCGCCAAACGGGCAATTAACGCAACTGGTGGAATCCTGAGCGTGATTACGGATGGAGCTTGCGCGTCGTGAAGCCTCAGCGTCATCCAAGTTCTTGAACTCTTAAAATAACTCCCACATTTACCTTTTCCATAACTCCCAGAACGACAAGCTGAACTCATCAGTGCAGGATCCTCCTATCCTCGGAACAAAGACATCAAACAAATCGTCCGCTCTAGTTTCCGGCTTTAGAAGAAGCCTGAAGAAAATATAAACAATAATTTAATGTCTTTAACTCAATAAGTTGATATTATTTTGCTTTTAATTTTCCTTCGAAGCTCAGTACTTTACTGCACAGAGTGTTACAAATAAATAATGCTTAGATTTAAAATAGAATAGGCGGCTATATTTCCAAAGTATTTTCCTTTGGTTGTCTATCGGCATATAAGAAATACAAAAGTGTATAATCAGCAGTTTTAAAGAGAAGTGAAGGCTTTTAAAATAATTTGTGTAAAATCAGCGCTTTTAAAAAGAGACTCGAAGCAATCTAAAATATTTTCGTTACTTATACAAAATAGCTATTTTTAATGTAAACATAATGTGTTAGTTCTAATGCAAAAAAAAAGTTGTGCATTTGGGTACAGTTTTTCATTAATTTATAAATTTTAAACACAGACTGAACATTTACAGACGTTTACAGCCTTTGCGGTTATTTTGAACTGCAGTAATATTCAACTTCTATTTCGATGTTCATATGAAGCTCTAATATCACGAGCGATTTCATTCCTTTTTTATTTTTGGAATTCATATTTATTTGATTTCAAAATCAAATATGAAAAATGCTGTTCAACTTACAAAATTTTTGCAAGGATTTCAAAACCTCATCATAAGCGATCTGCAAGTAAAATTAACATTTTAAATAATATTATTACTTTTATCATCGATTTTCCTTGGATGTATGTCATAAAAAATTTGGTTTCACTGAGTCTGAATAAGACGAATTTAAATAACTGGCAAAATTTTCTCTTGTATAAAAAAGTTTAATAAATTAAAATTGTAGTAGGAAAACACCTCGCAGAAAAGAACGGCTGAGACGTGTTTGTAATCACAGTACGTAAAAAGTCTAAAAAAAACGTTAATTTTAAACATCATGTCACTACAAAAAAATGAGAAAAAACCTTTATATAACAATAGTTCTTAAATATGATAGTATTTTATATATTAGTAAATACACAAATAATACCTCTTATTAATAATTAATAATTTAAGTTTAGATGTACCTTTAAAGGAAATTAATGCAAAAAAAATTCAGTTTTTCTTTTTATTCGGTAAAGAACCTTTTAATCAAAAATAATGAAAACAGCTTTGCGGGCGTTAATGACATTTTAAGCCATCCTAATACGGGAGGAAGGAGAAATAAAGATTGAGTACCACTGACTGAATCGAATATTGCAAAGTTATACGAGAAGGTTATTAGCGTAAGGGAACGGATACTATAGTGAAAGATTTTCCAAGGTAAGCTAACTCATATTAACTAAAAATCAAATTCTTACACGTATTTAACATTTGTCATTAAAATCCCGGATTTTATTTAAATCAGGCAGTCTGTTAGTCGATTTAACAATAGATGAATTTATTGTTTAGAAGTTGGGAATGAATGGTATTTGATAAAAGGAAAGTTTTCATAACACTCTCTTAATCCTTTTCATTCATAAGCAGTAAATGACGATTATTTATTGCCGTTTAGTCAGTTGAGCTGTAAGTGTATACATTTTCGAACCACAACGAGCTTAACAGTAGACAAGCTCTTTAAACACTCGTACTTCCACTCGGATTCAAATCCTGGCTAATGGATTCTCTGAAGGGGACTTTTAGTTTTCCCATTGCGTAACATAAATAGAAATCAGGTTCCTTTAAAACGTCTTCCACGAAGATATCCTTGATGCATAGAGGAATCATATGCTTTGCTTTTCTCAAACAAGTAAAACTCTAAAATGTGAAATTCCATGAAACTAGAATGACTTAGTCCTTTGAGTTTAAGATGACATTCTTTAAATACCTTATTGTACAGAATATCCATATTGAATATTCATCCCAAACTTGTTACAACTTAAATTTACGGATAACATGAAAACTGTTCAAATAAAAGAAAAACAAACAACACACATCTATAAGTAAGTCTTCAATAGCCAATTCAGTTTTAATTTTATAATATATGTTATCTAAAGCAGTACAAGTATGACAGAAACACGGCAGTAGAAATTCGATGTTCTTTTTGTAAAGTAATTAAGCTTGTCGAATCAGGAAGGTTTCTTACATTCCAGGTTAATAATAAATAACCCTTCACAACTACTGCATCATCGCAAATGCTAAACTACACATATACAACTTTTTGTTCGAATAAAATCTGCAGAAGAGCTAATGCAAAAGAAATAACACACCTTAAAAAGGCACCCCTGGAATAAAAAGCAGAAGTCAACTTATTGATACCATGGCTTTTTGTCCGCTTTCAGCTGTCAATCAACTACGAACTACCGCATTTCGATTTTATTTACCAACCTTTGAAACCAAGAAGTTCCAAAGTATAACTTAATAAGAAATTATTCCTGGATAGAGAGATATTTAAAAACTAGGACTGCAATTAGAAAAAACTGCTAATTCGTACGTTTAGCAAAATATTAAGCTTTCATTATCATTAAACTCAAAATATATTCGTATTATGATATGATACATACAGTGCTGACCGACATGTGGCTGAATGATGATGGTAAAGATGAAGTAGCTTACTGATAAGATGAAGTAGATTTTTTTCTCAGGATTATACCAAAGCGAGTGAATAAGACGGCTGCACGGAACAATCGTAGTTTTTCCCTGTATGACATAAGCATGGGCAAACTTCTGGCGGAAAATTTTCCAAAGTAATTCTCCTATTATTCCAAGTTGTCCTTTGCTATAATCAATGAATCTAATCCTTACAATGGTTATTTATAAAATTGTTGATAGGTCATTTGTAATTTAAGAAACGATAGTGTTTTCAAGAAAAGGTAAATACGCTACCTTTTTGATAAAAGGTACTTTTCCGTTTCGCCGGCGCAAATCTCGCCAAGACTTTATTGGCGACAATACACAGTATACACATAAAAAATTAACAATTTAGTTCTAGAATTTTTTTGAAGCATAAAAATTTTATCCGTTTAAATTTTGTAAAAAGACAATAAATAAAGACAATAAATTTGTAAGACATTAATTTAAGAATTTACGTTGGTACACATCCTGATTTTCCGTTCATATCACGTGACCCCAAGTATTTATCTCACGTAAACTACGATATAAAAATCTAATTTCTCAGTATTATCTACATTAATTTCAAGTTAAATCTTAATTCAGATTAAAATTAATGCAAGAATTATTTAATTCGTACGAATAGCTTACTCGAAATTATGTAAAACCGCAGTGCTTACTCGCTAGTGCATTCTCATTAGATTGATGAATTTAACCCTTGACTTTTGCCTTTCGCTTCTTTGAGCGGTGTGAGGCTTCCAATTGACTTAATTACTCCGAAGGGTTAGGCATAAAATGACTATCTGTTAAATTCTATGTAATTGTATGCCAGTATTGAAAGAAACAATCAATCTGATAAGAAATGGCTGCGACGTGTTTGAAAATGAAGCGTAAAGGTATAGCGAGGAATCAATTTGGCATCGGTTGTACCATTTTTGGCGACTTTATTCCTTGCGCCGGCAAAATGGAAAAGTACCAAATAGGGAATTAGTTAAATATATAAAAAGAAAGCAAATACAGAGTTTTAATTAAAGTAATTAGTGCTCAATGAAGGAAGTGAAAAATTAAATTCTCAACGAGAAAGGAATTTTTTTTTTTCATATTTTATTTAGTTCTTTATCATAGTGTATCTATTTTTAGCTACACCATTTTCTCTATTTGATTTAACACTCACGTCGTTGTTTTCATACTAAACAAAGTTTAAATAAAGAGAGGTAAACATAAAATAAATGCTTTTTAAAAGTTTTTTTTCTGTATCTAAAACAGCTGCATCAGTTTTATTGCTATAGACGACAACGTGATAACTTGCCATCTAAACATCAGTATGTTTGGAAAAGCAATCATTTTGCGATAACTTATCAGAGATCATAAAAGGTTTCACGCTTGTCTTTTTGAAAGTTAAGCAGCTTAGAGCAGGAAGTGTTTACATCTCGTCGTTTGCTGACCGGTTTTTCAGCAAAACAAGAAAATATTTCTGTCAAGGATTACACAGTTTTTAAATATTATCACTGAAAATCGAACATTCGAAGAAAATATTTTCCTGCAAAGTGTTCATTTTACCAGCTTTATGCATTAGAGTCTTACTTATCAACGTGGCGCGCGTTTTTTAGACAATCTAAATTTAATTAAGAATTTTTCGAGAAAAAACTGTCATCCGATGAGTTCCATGATGACTTTGAAGACTTGTGAACAGAACTGTAGATTACAAGATTCTGCAGTTTGCAGGTAAATGTGTTGCTGTTGTGTTTGATAATTTAAAATTTTCGAGATAGATTTTGCATTCTTAATTTCGTTTTAACTACGATAGTTAATTTAAAATTTTTGAAACAGATATCACATTCTGAAGTGTGTTTCTATTAGTATATTATTTTGGTTAGTATTATTTTTTAACGGTTTTCGTACCGTTTAGTTTGTTAAAATCTTAATATTATTGCATAATCGTATACGTTGTGTTTAAGTAATTTATAGTTTTAAATAGATATTTAATTAAATCAAGCCCTTCAAAGAAATGAGAATTTTAATTTATTTCAAAGCATTAGGAGATTTTAGCTTTCTCTAACGCTTTAATTGAAATATGTTGTTGTAAAAATTAAATTCATTAAAAACCAAAGCGGTGTATAGAGGTGCCATGCAATGTTAAATATTTTCATAATGTTGTAGTTATTGTAAATTTTAATAGCATAATATAATTTTATATGTGATGGGTTTTCAGTATGTTCCAGGTACGTACTTGCTGAAACCAAACCAAGCAGGTATTGTGCATTATTATATTAAAAAAATCTCGCTGCGGTACGAAATAAGGTAAAACATGTCCTAAAAAAAATGTGAGTAGACTGTGTTAAAAATAAATATTTAAATGATTCCTTTAACAATCCAAATCTCCTTAGAGTTAATTTTCTGAGGGTACACCACGAACGAAAGAATTTTTATTTTTTGTTGTTTTTTTTTTTTTTTTTTGGTGTTGTTTTGTTTTTAAATTTAGGCAAAATGCAAGTATTTAATTTATACAAGAAGATCTGTCTGACTAAATATAAGCGAAATTAAGACACAATAACACGCCGAATAAATACTAATTCAGAAGTCAAACAACAAAAATCAGCCTTATATTTACAAAATTTTCACAGTATTTTGTAAATTTTGTAAATATAACGCTGATTTTTGTTGTTTGACTTCTGAATTAGTAAATATAAGCGGTTTCGATATAAGACTTGCTGAACATTCAGTCTGCACTTTTTGTAACATCATTACACTTTACATTCTAGACGATTAATTTCTAAACCATTCTAATTTCCATTCTAAAAGTTTACAAATATTATTTTAACATTTTAAAGGATGGTTTGGTCTAATTTAGAAGCATTGTTAACTTTCTAATGATCTCTGGTGCAATAAAAAAAGAAGTAATTGCGTTCATAATGAACTATTATCACTTTGTTAATAAAATATTCAGTTGTGATGAAAGTTTTAAAAGTGTAATTTTACAAATTCATTATTCTAAAAAATTGCTTTTGTTCTTAATTTTCTCAGATATATGAACAATTACTACAAATCGTCAAATATTGAAAATAAAATGTAGGAGTAACATTTTGTTGTGTTTTATTCATATCTGTGCAAACAACAAGGATTTGTGTCTGCGTTGCCGTACTGAAAGACTAAGATAAACCAACAACGAATTTAAAGAAACGGTGGATGCGTATGCATTACTGTTAGGAATTAATAATATTAATAAGGTTGAATACCTATTTTATGCTGAGTAAATATTTTCAATTTTTGTTCATCAAAATTTCGAGATCATCAATTTTAAGGAACAGCACTTTCAAACTACTTTCAAAAAGATTCCGAGCTCTATAAAGATTACTTATTTCTATAACAGAAGCAGTAAGTTAATATATAAACTAATAAGCCTTGCTAAAATGTTAACGCTTATTTAAAAGACTGGAAATCCATCAGTCTACAGTAACGACAAGTTAACTCATTCTTTCAAGTTATATCAGTATTAACACTCATTCTTTCATAAATTACCTTCTTTCTCATTTAAAAACTTGTTTATCTTTCATTAATGTTTTGGAAGTTTGTTTTTAATAGATTTCATACTTGTCCCCTCTCTTTGCATTTAACTATCGACTGGACTATAAGTGTAGATGCCTATCAGTCTTAAAGGTCTAGTAGGTGAGGTTATCTAATCTCTCTATACTCGTTCTTATAGTACAATGCATTGTTCATTCGGTACATAATATAAGCATATAATACATTACGTTAGCCATACAATGCACTACGTTAGTCATAAGATACAATACATTAACAATGCTTTCCAATATACATTAACCTTACAGAAAAACATTAATAATGCATTACAATGCACGCAATTCAAATAGTGCTGTGCAATAACTATGCAAGTATAGTACATTAACTTTACGGTGCAATACAGTAATCTTCATATTAGACATTGAATTTGCGATCTGTAAATGTTATGCTGCTCTGATGCAACGCTTTTAGTCTGGGATATGAACGTTCCGTGAGCCACTGATATAACTGGTTGCTCATCGTGATATTATTGAAATATCTTTGTCTTGGCACTTCCATGCACTTGTCTTGTCCATGAAGGTTAGAACTCAAGAGATGTTTCCATAGATGCTGTTTCTGAGTGCTGGGATGTTCAAATATTAAATCGTCCGCGTTGCCTTCTTGAGCACAGGAACATGTCCATAATCACAAATTTAGATAAGTATGAAGAGAACGGGCCGTGTCTTGACGTGAATTAAGTGAGTGCCGCGACGTTGCCGCGAAGTACTGCACTGGCTTTTGGCATTAACATATGAGTGCGTCAGCCTGTGTTGGCACTATCCCAGCGTTTCTCCCATTTGACAAGTAACGTCTGTAAAGTGAATCTTTTAAGATAAGAGACAGGTAACTGAGTTGGATACTTAATGAAAGTGACGTTGTAGATTTCACACTGCTGAATCTATGTATGATGATATTTTTACATCATTCACCAGTTTTAAGAGAGCCAAGTAATTAAACAAAATACAAACTTTACGTAGAAACTAGTGCTTATTAATTTTTAAAAGCGAAAAACATCTTATCCATGGCGATTAACTCATCACAATAACCTGTATACTGCATTAACTGAATTACAAAACAATAGTACTTTATATTCTGTTCTATTTTTCTGCAAGTGTCAACTAATCTATGCATAAGAATCTAACAGTATTTCTACAGTATAAAAATAGGTTCCAATTCCTATCGTACTTTCTTTCCGCATTAGTTGACATTTTAATGAACATATCCTGATGCATCTGAAATAGCTTTTAGTTTCTTCAGTACAAACATCCAAATGAGAATGAAGAAAAAATAGTATGAATGAGGTATTGCCCCCTAAAACTATAAAAAGAGTTCCTTCACTTAATCTTCATAATTCTCAGATATATTATTTTGTTAAAGGTTGCTGCAATTTTTTTAAAAATTATCTTGGTAGTTGTTTTCCCATCTTCATTGAAGTTACAGGTTCAAACAGTTGTCTAACTTGTAATCTTCTTCCTTCTTCAAAACTAATGTATGCCAAGTAATTTCTCTTTTAAATAAGAAAATCAATCTTGTCAGTTTATCCATAGCTGTAATAATTTAATGAGACCTAGTTTTATGTAAAGTTATAGTAAATAAGTCTTTCTGTTTTTCCCAAAGTCTAACACGTGATATATTTTATTCCTAGGTATACTATTCTTGGGTAAACTTTTCATGTGTAGGGTTTTATTTCCTATGAATAACTATAGATTTTCCTATGGATTTTAGGCTGACTGTATAATTAGTTATTAAAATAGATTTACAACTAGCCTACGATGAAACTTTTACTCAAGGAACACTACTCTGTTTTTCTTGTGGCGTATAATACACTTTACTTCTCAAACATGATGAGTGATATGGCATGCTTTAGCATAATTCGTTGTAAAGAAAATCCACGTTACATAAAATCTTATGTTTCATATAGAAGACTTTTCCTGCAGAGCGGTTCGCTGCATTTCGTTTCCTCCGAGGCCTAGCATGCGATTCTTGATCAAGTCTATTAATCCATACACCTTCAAGAATGGTAAAATGAGATCAGCGAAGGTCTTCCTGGTGCAATTCACCAGTCGAAAGAATATGACTTACTAAAGTCTGTTCAATATGACATTTTAAACAGGTTTAAAACGCATTTGGGCCATAAATAAAACAACGTGATGTGCGAAATCTTCTCTTAAGCTGTTTATCAATTTCTGTTCTTTACATATATAAGTGCAACTCCAAAATTATCACTGTGATGCCAGTAATAAAGAAGGAGGACAATTCAAGTATTATTATTTAAAATGTTCTTTTGTAAATATCTCCTCACCAATAAATAGACATTATGGAAGTGCTGACTCTGCCATGCTCTTTGCTACCAATTAGCATGCAATAAAAATGAATATTGCTGTAATAAAAATATTGCTTATACTTAATTATGACTGTCCGATAATATACAAATATCTTTCTATTTTTTAAAAAATATTGCATATTTTACTGCTTCATCTATCGCTATTATTTCAAAGACCAAGCAAAATAACTTGAATTTCTTCTTTTCAGCTCCATAGTGAAATTACGAGTTTTAATTGAAACTCCACGATTAACGAACTTATCTTCATTTCTACTGCCTACAGGGTAGATCTGAATACAACCGTGGGTATACCATTGCGAAACATAACAGCTAGTTGCCTCGTTAATAAAGAATTATTCTTAATAACGGCAGAACAACTTAGTCGTCAGCAATTTTCTTTTTAAGTGAGCAATTTAATGTAATCTAATAATTTATTTAATCAGATTTTTCCACATGAATTGGCATATATTAATGTGAAAGGCTGTTTAAATATAATACTTCTAAAATAGCAGTTTATGTAGTCGTTGTTGCACATAAGTTATCAAAATGCTTAGTAATTCTATTATGGGCAATTTAATATTAAATTATTTTCACATAGTTGTCTACAGAAAGGAAAAAAAGTGTTTTTCTAAACAACAGTTATAAAATGTTGTTGCTGTTATGATATATCTCAGTTGTCTGTCAGTAACATCAGTACAAGCCCATGGAATTCACTATGGCAAGGAATGCAAGATTGAACCTGTCGTTGGCAAGAGCCTTGAACACCATATAGTTTGACAGTAAGATATAAACAGTAAAAGTATTATAAAAATCTGAAAAAAAAATTGTAGATTAAAAGATACAGGTAGGCACACAATCTAGCAGTTAGAACTTGAACTAGAATACAGAGAATTGAGCTTCATTTCCAACCAGTAATGATTTTTGTAAGTTTTTCTATTTGTTTTGAGACTATTTGTTGAAGGAACCGTTATAGTCTATTGAAGTTATATGATCTATAGAAGGTATGGGGGAGATTTGTTTTACTTCAATTTTTATTGAAATCTGATTAGCACTTATTATCCTTATCTTGACAAATCAGAACATGTTGCCAGTCGGTGCGGCTCAAGATCTTTAATTTATGTTAAGTGTTAGAAGAGTGCGTCATTCGTCAGTGCTAATAATATGAATTATTCAAAATAAGCCTGCATATGTTAATAACATTTTGAATCAACGTTTATACTATTAGCACATTAATAAATCGTATTTCTAATGCCAAATAATGCGTACCTCGATTGCAAAAGCAGTCTCTAACAACACTGGTAAAATTATGTTGTAACTTATAGATTTCTATGCTTTACACTCACATATTAGCAACAGCATATATGTGATTTTCCGCATGTCATTTCTCGTATAATCCGTTTAGTTTTTGATTTGAATTACTTCTAGAAGTCGGCAAAAAAATTTCAATAAATTTTGCAATCTTTTTTGGCGGAACTCCTAAAATCTCTACTAGAAACTGTAGAAGTGGGAGTTTCTGGTAGAGATTTGATAATTTTTTGATAACTATAAAAGCAGTGGTACTCTTCGGTGTAATAGATATACTCCAATCAATAAAGACCATATAGAGGACTACCTGGAAAAATTATTAGTAATTCTGAAAATAGGCTTACTTTGTGTTTTTTGGGTCTCTGAATCTGAATCTTTAACTTCCCATCACAAATTGCCCCGCACACAAATTTTATCTTCTTTCCGAATTTCTAGGTATTTTCCCACTAGGATTTCATAAGCCAAAAAACATAAAGTAAATCTATTTCCAAATTTACCATTAATTTTTTTAGGTAAAGCCCTCTGTTGCCTGTCCCTGGACATAGGCGGTTCTCTCCCTGTCTGCATGGGCGTTTTCGTATTTTTCCCCATGTGCAACATGTATACGAGTCAGTTTTCCTTAGGAGGTTCTCCCCGAAGACATTTCTTTGCTTAGCAAACAGTTTGGGAAACAGCAAACAGTGCTTTGCCACAATTAAATAAACCAAACCTCTTATTGCCTGGGGTAATATGTATGCATGTTGAATAAAATTGTGAGACTGTAAATATTTCCAAAGTTTTTCAAACCCTGATAAAATAAATATATCTAAAATAAGTATTCCGTGTAGTAAGCACACTTGAACAGCAATGCATAACATATGATGCGTAGTAAAACTTTCATTAAACAATTTTTTTGAATAAACACAAGATATATAACTTAAAAATAGCTACGAAAAAGTATTTGCAACTAAATTTAACACAAAATTTCTCACTTCAGTATATTTATTAATGTGATAGTCTTCAAAATATTTTCTTCAGAAGGAATTCGTGTTATTCGTTTAAAAAAATAATAAAGTTTTATTTTTTCCTAGAGGATTTAAAATTCTGGAGGCTACAAAAGAATTAAATCATGCACAATTTAAAACGAACATAAAATTTTTTTGGTCCATTTTATACATTTCTTAATTATTGGGTTGTATGAAATGTATTGATCAACATAATCGACACTTTTCATATATTTACGCTACTCCAAAATACTTTTGGGTTTCACTATCACATCAGTAATTTTTCAATTCATTTTTCCTGTTATTTATTATTTTGACAAAGATAGGTTTTTCTATATAAAGATCTGTGATCATTAATACGATCCTTCTTAACTTGTTTCTTTCGTATGTTTGTCCAAAGAATTTTTCAGTTCATATAACGCTGTGCCCATACACCGCTTAATGTGCCTTATAATTTTATATTAATGTGTATTTTGATGGCGATATATATTTGTTTAAGTCTTCGATAAGATAAAAAAGTTATTACCAAGAAGAAAATTTACAACTTGAGATACATCTTCGAGGTCTCTGGGAAAAACTTTAATGCCGTCATCTCCTAAAAACAACTGTAGTATCATAGTCACATCATTCTTAGACTAATGACTTTTTGAAATAGTTTCTTCATTTTCTATTTTGACACATATATCACTCCTCTCCGGTTTGCTTAAAAGTGGCAACGCTTTTCTTCGTTTTGTGGAAGGAAAATCCGAATAATCGCTGTCACTACCAGTGTCCGAAATATCTGGCTAACTTACAGCTTCAGACAAATTACCGGCACATATTTCACCATTAATGGACTCGTTAAAATTAAAATTGAGGGTTAAGAAAGGGTAAGAAAATTTGCTAAATCCTGCACAGCATTTTATATAAACTGTCTGACATTAAATGCCAAGCTTACAAAAAAAAAAAAAAAATTCAGAAAGGACGTACTGAGTCAGCGACTACTCGAAAACAAGAATCAAATAACAGATTATAATGTCAATAGCTACTCGCCAGTGAAATTTGTATAACGTACTGCTACTCCAGTGGTTACTCACCAATGAAGAAAACGTATTGCTATACGTCAACGGCTACTCGACGATTAAAACTGAATAACGTATTGCTACGTCAACGGCTACTAAATTTTTAATTTAAAAGACTTAAGAAAGCCATCAGAGAGCTAATTTATCCAAAATCGTGCTTTATAACAATCTTTTGATGCTTTTCTCATTGGACCTTTTCCTTTTAAAAAATTCATCATTCGAAGATGCGCAAATGGTTATTTTGTACTAAGGTACATAAAATTTGAAGTTAGAAACATTTTATGTTAATAATATTAATATAATAAGAATTATCAGTTCGATATATTTATATATTACATTAAATGCAGTTTAAATTATATCAGTTAGATATGTTAGTAAAAGTACCAAGTAAAGTGGTTATTGTTTCTAACCGCTCAGTAACCAAGTAGTACCAAGTAAAATACTCAAAAGTAGTTTATTAGTCTAACCGCTCAGTTTAAGCAACTACAAATGTAATTTGAAAGATAAATTAAAACCTTAATGCTACTTCGATTAGCAATGTACTGAGATCTAGTTGTTTATCAGCAAGCGTGCATTTGGTGGGCAGTGTAAGATAACTGCGTCCGTCCTAAACAAACGGCAGTATAAACACTTCCAACGTCGAAAGAAAACTCTGAAAAAACTGGAGCTCTTAAAACTGAAATACTTCTTGAATTTTAAAACTGCATTTAACTTCAAAGGTCTGCTTTTACCTGATGGTTAACAGTAGCTATTATTTTTATTTTCTCCCCTAGTAAATGCAGAAGACGCAGTTCTGTTAAAAATCCTCACCTTGAAGAAATGAAAGTCGATATCCTGTATCATTTGGGTTTAACTACGTCAGATGATGATTTACAGATTATGTTTGGTGACGTCAAAGTGAGTATAAAATCTTATCAATTTTTTATCTCTTATCGTTTCTCAAAATATACGTAATGAACTTTAAACTTCGCAGCAAATCAGTAACTAATAAAAACAATAAAATACGTCAAAAAAGAACTTAAATATTATCCTACGTATCTTGCTTTTCCTCCCTCCAAAACCCTTTATTTATGAATTGTTTAATCTCTCACGAGGACAACGCATGGCATGTTATTAATGAAGTATCGCAGATTTGTTGTATTAGTGTTGCAGAATAAAATGGCTTTTTATAGCACATTTTCAAAGCTAAAAAAAAAAAAAGAGTGCATACAGGTGTTTGAAAAAGGTGACTGCAGTTTCTTAACACTTTTCTTAACACGTGCAGGAAGTTTAAGTGAATGTGAAGAACGAATGAGTATTTTTTATTTAGTTCTACGTTATCTCGTAGGTGGCATAGGGAGCAAAAATATTGTTTCATATGGCGACTAGAAATATACTCGTATGAATTTATTTACTGCTAAAAGGAATCTGTTATATCTATATTTAAATAATAAAGCAATAGAAAATAATTAAAAAGCATAAAAATGCAGATAGGATTGCGGCGAGTGTGAACGGACGCACAGCATCTGCTTTGGCAGCGAACGTGTTAAATATAAATTATTCAAATTCATATATATAGAAATTACAAATATTCTCAGTTACAGAGTTTCTTAACTTAACAACTTTAACATTTCTTAACATGACATAACTTACGCAGTTTTAACACAATTGATGTGAGTGTTTTTGTAAATATAAAATCTAACTTTTTACGTAGTCCCTGTATAGAAAACATTCCAGTAACTATTCATCGTATTTTAATGAATTATAAATACAAAATATTCCTTATCAGTACAAGATTTCCAAAAATGTACGTAATTAGTATTTTTATGGAACCAATTTCAAATTTAATCTTGAGCTGTGCTTCTGCCAATACGAGTCCATTAAATGCCAAATCGCAAACATTTGCTTTGTTGTTGCTCTCTAAATTCCGTTAGACGCACCAGTGGCCTTTGAATACTGGTAGTTCGATATGGGTTCGAATCTAGGAGAATGGGGCTAACTGCATGGTTGGTTTCCGTGTTTATCCCAATGTGTAACGTAGATACGTGCCAGTTTCCCATAAAAGTCCATTCCCATAGGGTTTGGTTTGGTTTGGTTTATTTAATTACGGCGAAGCACACTAGGGCTATCTGCCTAAGGGTAGGGATGCCTTCGTGGAGGACTTTCTAAGGGTAACTGGCTCGTATACACGTTACACACGGGAAAAACCACGAAAACGCCCATGCAGCCAGCCCGTTCGCGGGATTTGAACCTCGGACCGAACTACTGGTGTTCAGCGACTCTACCGCTCGGCCGCTGGTGGGCCCATTCCCATAGGGAAGACAACCTTCAGGTTGATTTGCCTTAATAATTAAACTAACCTAACCTATATTCCGTTGAAAAAATTTGTATTTGATCGACAATAAGCAAGTAATCTGAATAAATTTATTTTCGAATAGCTCCATTAATATTTCCTGTAAAAATTTCTTGCAAAACTTATCATGTACAAACTTGTACTCTTGGTACTTACAGCCCACCAGCTGCCGAGCAGTAAAATCGATCAACACTGGTAGTTTCGACTTGTATTCTATTACAATCAAACGGGCTGGTTGCATGGGCGTTTCCGTCGTTTTCGCTATGTATAACGTGGATACGATCCACTTTCCCCCTTAGAAAGTGCTCCACGAAGTCATCCTTCTCCTTAGGCAGATAGCCCTAATGTGATTTGTCATAATCAACTAAACCTTTGGAACTTTGCGGTTATATTGGCTTTCAGCAGGAAATTAAAATCCTGCTCTTGCCAGTTCCTGATATGATCCCATGTGGGGCCTGACAGAGTAGAAACCTGAAAGAAATTTTCTCTCCTCTAGTGGAGGTAGAAGTGTGCTGAAGAGAGAGAAAGAAAAAAAGAAGCACTTTGCTCCTGTACTGCTACATCTTGGATGGAATCCGCCAAGCAGGGGCCGGAGAAAGAAACTTCGGATGACCTGTGTAGGATAGCCCGAATACTAACTGTTCATTCGTCGGAGCCAGTCACGTGGGAGGTCACCCTCCCAGAAACCGACCCCGATTGATGCTGCTTGAAAACCAGAAAACTGGAACTTAGAATTCTGAACTCAAGAGATGGGCGGAGGTTTTTGTCTTCAGCCAGGATTTCGTAGATAAGAATGTCCGTGAAATTAGCGGGATTCACATTGATAATATTCAACTAAACTAAACCCAAATCTTGGTACTTATATATTAATGCAACCACCTCAGTAGAAGTCGCCAAATCTTCAGAATATGGCAAACTCTGGCAACCATACTCATGACAATCATTTAGTCATGCAACGTCACCATTTTCGTATGCTTTCTTTTTGTGGTATCCAAATTATTCCGTAATATTTTATAAAACGTGATATTTTTTACCTTGAACTCAATTTTAAAATATGTGCTTGTGGAATTTGCCAGTAATAGAAGAAACTGGGGTAACATTTCTGCAGAAATACTGTATTATGCTGCAAAATCGCTTAAGAGAATAATTATGACATGTGGGTGGTAGATTGGTGGTGCGCAATGCCCAGTTTGTGCAATGCTCTGATTTTTTTAAGCAAAAGCATATCGATGTGTACACGGGAGGAAGAGCAGCGCAAAAAAATTTCTGAGGAATTTCGCGGAAGGATGCGTTTTGTTTTTAACGTATCATAAAGTTGGTACTTACGTATTAACTCAACGATTTTTGAGCAATTTCACGATTTTTTACAAAAGAAAACGTAAAAGTTACTTATTAGATGCAAGCTGTTGGTTTTCGTGGCATTTTTTTAAAAAGATATCCAAACTAAAGTTATTTATAGTAAGTTGGTAAACATTATCATCAAATGAAAAGGAAACATACTTTAGTATATCAAAATACAAATTTTAGTTGTTAATGAAAAATTTTGTCTTACATTAAGACATAAAACGCACTTTCCCCCAAATCATTCTGTAATTTTGTGTGCTTTTCTTCTTCCCAAGTATACAGCGATCTGTGTATACTTAAAAAGCGTCAGGTGATTACAGAGGTACGGCATCGTACAAACTCCGGTAACATCGGATATTTAGCAAACGCATCGCCTTATTTTTCCCTTTAGGTAATCTGCCTCAGAATTCTGTGTTTCTGGAGAAATTTTACAGCAGTTCCTTCCATCGCTGGCAACTTCTACAAAGCATATTTTAAAATGCGGCAGATAATGTGGTTTAAGTCTAATGGGTAGTATATGATGCTTTACTTATAAAAGCCCTTACAATGCAACAAAAGAACGTTGCTTGACTGAAGGTTTTTATGAGCACGGTTGCCTGAAGAATCGTTATGCGCATAATTACCAGAGTTTGACACGTTCTCTAAAAATTTGGCGACTTCGACTTAAGTGGGTTACGATAACACTTAAGTATATAATCTTTATTTAATAATTAAAATTTGTATTTTAAATAGCTAATGTTGTGCATGTGAGTATTGTGAGCAGTGTATAAGATCTAAAATCGCTTAATTTGTTTATTTGATGGTTGAATCATCAGCCCGCTCCAAACGGAAGTTCAGTAATTGATCTTTAATTTATCGTTGTAGAATGTGTGTAAGTTTCTATGTTTCTACTTTTTCATGTGGTTGATATAATATTGTGTTTGTGACAGACACGTAGAATGACTCGCTTCTTTTGTATCATATTTTCGCATCGCTTATTTCATATTTAGAATTAGTGTAATTAAAAAAAGGAACTAAAGTCCATGTGTTATGTGATTTTTGTGTAACAGCCGCAGTGAAACAATGTTAAGTTTGTGCCAAATGTTTTACGATAAATATCGATAGTTCAGTAATTAAAAAAAATTGGTGAAAATCGCCAGCTTGCGTCTGTTAAGTAACTTTTAGCTTTTTGTCTGTAAAAGAAGCATGAGTACCTTTTATTTAGCATAGTGACTATTTTGACAGAAATTTTTGTACGCGAAACGATATCCTTTGAATCGTATACCCAACCATAATTTCTTTGCAAGGCTGCACCAGAGGTTAGCGGAAGCGGGTTCCTTTCAAAGAACTGCCATGAGTCAGGCACGATCAGCATAGACTCCGGACATCGAAGAGAATATGCTACATCAGGTACAGGGGACTCCAAGTTTGAGTACTCAAAATGTAGCGCACGCAGTCGGGGTTGTTCCAGTATCTGGAGGATTCTCAGAGAAAATGCATCCTATCATGTCATGTGTATCCAGGCACTTCAACCGGGCGAATGGTATCTTGAAATGTGTGCTACAGATGACCATTTTCCTGCTAATGTGCTGTTCACCGATGAGGCATCCTTCACGAGGGAAGGACTATTCAACATATATAAAGCCCATCTCTGGTCGGTAGAAAACCCTCATGGAAATCGACGTCATGCAGCGCAGAGTCGGTTTTCGGTTAATGTTTGGGTCGGCATTATGAGGGATTACCTTATCGGACCTCACCTGTTGCCTTTTCATCTAAGCAATGGTAACTACTTCATCTTTCTGCAGCAAGTCATGCCGCAACTTCTAGATGACAAACAAATTTCTGCATCGATGCGACAGATAATGTGGTTCCAACAGGATGGGGGCCCTGCCCATTTCAGCCATAACGTGTTCGTACCCACCTAGACGTCCCATTTGGCCAACAGGGGATTGGACGTGGTGGTCCGGTGAGTTGGGCTGCTCGATCACCGGACCTATTATGTCTTGATTTCTTTTATGGGAGCACATGAAGACAATGGTTTATGACACCCCCGTTGACGACGCCGAGGAGCTGGTTGCACGAATCGCAGTAGCTGCCGGAGAAATTCGAGATATTCCTGGAATATTCGTAATTCCATGCGCCGTAGCTGTCGATGTGAGGAGACGGTAGACGAAACTTCGACCACTATCTTTGACTCATGTTACTTTTGTTCATTTAAATTTATTATTAAAAGGAATGTGAA